CCGTGAGCCAGACAGAGAGTGACCTTGAAAGGCTTGTCCCCGCGGCGTCCAAAGAAAGCATGGCAAAGAATAAGGGGTCGCTACAGGTTCACCGATTTCGAGACTAATAGTCGAGGTGGTCCTACAACGGTTGGAGTCGCTGTTCTTCCAACATCACAGACCGAAATTCTGGGCGCGGTATGTAGTTGACACCTTCGTCGTCATCAAACGGGATCAGGTGCTCACGTTCGAAGAACGTCTCGACAGCTGTCGAAATACAATGCCTTAGAAGGGTGTTCATAAAACATGGCTTTCCGCGCGATTTCGTCAACCGGTGCTTGCGCAACTGAGATGGCCAAAAAAATCGCACCGACCTCAAAATTTGGCGAGCGATCCCGTACTTCAAAAACGTTTCAGAAGCCGTCGGCCGCCTTCTCGCACCACTTGGATTTGGAATCGCACACAGTCCAGAGGCAACCATAATGCGTCACATAATGAAACCGAAAGACCCACTGCCATGGCAAGAAACATCTGGAATCATCTACAGGATCTGGTGCAGTTGCGGACAAAGCAACTTTGTCGGAGAATCTGCCAGACTTCTCAAGACGCGATTTACCAAACACGCGACAGTAGTGCGGCGAAATGATGCCAGTTCTCAACGTTCAACGAGAGCTGGCCCCACATTAAAATGTTATGAGACCGAATTTTCTCACAAGCGGGGACAATTGGGTGAGCCGAGAATTATTTGAGTTATGGCTCACGGGCCCTTAATCCATTAACAAGTACAACGATTTGCCCAATCCATATTCGATGCTGAGATTCAATTTGGCCAAAGCAAGCCGCCGCTTGGGAAATGGACAGGCCACCGCGTCATCTTACGCTGGGCCAAGTGGCCGAGCAATCATCGCGCCAGAGTCTACCACGCGTGATGAAAGTTCAGCAAGTCAGAGCCCGCATGCCGTTCAACAAACTATCGGCGCGCAAGAAGGCAGTTACCGTTCATTATCGTTGTATGTTTTCAGCAATGACCGTATCCTATAAATACTGGAAACTTTTGTGCACATGCTACCCGTATCTGCTACTGCTTTCTGCTTATGTCTCTGATGACCAATCCGCTATGGATCTCGAAACGTCAGGCGAATAAAAGTATTGTCCCACCGATCGAGTTGTCTTCTTCTCAATATGTATTTGGCCTATGAGCGGATTTTTTCTTAGACTGAACGTACTACCTGGGTGAGAATATAATAAGCAATGGTCTTCGGAGGCTAATTGCCGAACGTTTAAATTGCAATCTTGGAAATAGCCTTTGTAAACGCAATAGTCCTCCTTGCGGTTAAGTTAGAATACACACTCACGTTCGGAGGAAGTGAACCCTACGATTTAAGTTACGTTCCGATTACAGTGCATACTTTCGCTGAAAAGTTCTTCATTTCATAAATCTGGTGATGTACGAAACTACGAGGATCTGAAGCATACGCAATTCCCACTAAAACGTATCTTTCGAAATCTATAGAAAACTGTGCAGGGTGCACTAATCGCTTTGGGTAGTTTGCAGGCAAAATTATTAGATAGGCGAGAATAGGTTGGCATAGATAACCAGATGGCATCAAGGGAGTGTAAAATGACGGGGCACTGTAAAATATGAAGCTAAAGGGTTTTTCCTCCCTCATAAAAAGATTGCACAAGGGAATTCGCACCGAGCTATGAGTCAATTAACACGATTGGGCGAATGTAATGAAACATAAAGATATAAATAATTAAATTGTCTTCGCAGACGCTTTGGGGAATACAGAATCCTAAGTGGCATAAATTCGTTTTCTAGATGCTTTGAATGCTGATCATTCGTCTGGCCCGTCCAAATTTTAGTTTCGCTCCTAAAAACTATATAAAAGAGCATGATGCATTTTGATAGGTACTAGTGCATACCAAATACTACAATAACCTATTAGAATGTACATTAAAGTTTGCTTCCTTTTCTACCAAAATGTGAAGCGGGGATGAGATGCTTTCTCATAGGAGGACTTAAATGCGCATTATTCATTTTCACAGAGTAGATATTTTGAATAATTTCCAAAATGTCGCACAGGGTAAGGAGAAAGACGATAGTTAATTATGTATTTACCGCTGGAACTCTTATAAACTAATAGTCGGCCCTCTTAATGTAACCATTTTGCAGAAAAGGAAGAAAAAGATGAATAGTCGAACCAGTCCGATAAAAACGTTTCAATAGCATGATACAACCAATGTGAATAAAATGCTGCGTCTGCTCTTGTCTAAAACTGACGTTTGCAATATTCATAAATCGTAGATAACTTGATACTTCGCATCCCGATACCTATAATTGCAGTAGATTGCCTAATTCATGAAATGCGCAGATCAAACATTAAGGGGCAGATCAACTCACTTTGAG